GTGTGTGTAACTTTTATTAATTTCTTCTTTAACAATTTCATATGTGTATATATAATATGCTCTGTTTATTTCCCCCCCATGCACCCCTTCTTATCTTCCTCCCACTCTGGTCAACCCTCACCCCCAACTCCTTACCAGTCTTTTTCTCACATTCATGCTTTTCTGTTCTATACTGTGACCCAATGAGTTTAACAAGGGCTGTCTGTGTGCTCATAGGTTTCCAACTATTGATTGGAGTCTGCTGGGCTTATGTGGTGCAGAGTGAAGATAATGACTGCTTCTCCTTCAGAAACCACCAGGAACCATTGGTTCATCAGAGTCAGGTATGGTGCTGTGAGTCCATCCACATCATGATTGACCTGATGACAGGCCCAATGCAGGCCACCACAGGCGCTGTGAGGTAACAAATGAAATGACTGTGTGATTACCCAGAAGATAGCATTTGTAGTCCTTCTCCCTATCTTCTGGCTCTTACATTCTTCTTATCTCTTCTAACCCGAGTCTTAGAGGGGTTGGGAAAAGTGTCCTGTATTTAGGGCTGAGCACTGAATCATGACTTATTCTCAGTACCTTGAACAGCCATGAATTTCTCCAACATGGCAGTTCTTTGGAAAGAGAAGCTTCTCTGGTTAAGGCTGGGTGTAGCATTTGTCTACTGGTATAATCATAAATATTTAGAAGGCAGTTTTGGCAGGCTCATGTTTTGAACGCCTGTTCCTCAGCAAGTGATGCTATTGGGGGGGGGGTGGAACCATTTAAAGGTGGGGCCTCTCAGGAAGGAGCAGGATAATAAGGGCAAGATTTTGAACTTTTGAACCAGGGCTCCTGGTTCCCTGCTGTTCTCTGCTTCCTGTTCAGCTATAATAGGAGCAGACTCCAGGAAGCACTCCTTCTTCACCATGATGACTGAAGTCCTCTGTAACTGTGAGCCTAAATAGATCTTTCATCCTTCAAATTGTTTCTTTAGATATTGTAATCAAAACAGCACAGAAGTAACTAACAAACACCATAGTCATTGCATGTATCTGTATATTGGTCTACCCCCCAATTTGTACAATATGCATAGAAAGAGTTTTCCAACAATGTCCTCTTAATATTGGGAGTTGCCATTTCTGAGTTTGGGGTAACTTTTTTAAATCAAGTGTTGTATTTTTATGCACTGCTTGATTTTTGTTATTGAGTATGTTCTTATTTTATGAAAATGATCAGGTGGCTTTTCCCTTTAAAAACTATAAACAGTATAACAAGAAGCTTAAAAAGTGACTTCTATAGCTGGAGAGATGACTCAGAAGTTAAGAGCACTAGCTGCTGGAGCACTGGTTCCTCTTGCTGAGAACCCAGGTTCAGTTCCCAGCACCCTATGGCAGCTCACAACTGTCTGTAACACCATTTCCAAGGGATCCAATGCCCTCTTTGGGCCACTGTGGGCACTGCATGTATGTGATACATATACACACATGTAGGCAAAACATTCATGTACATAAAAATAAATAAGTGATTTATTTTCAGTCATATAAATAGATGATAATATATTTTTATTTTCTACAAGCTTTTAGTGTGTAAATACAAAAACCACATACATTAGGTTCTGACTTTGCCACCATTCTAGTACTCATGAACTTAGCATGCATTAAGAACATTTCCATTTCCATAGATTTAACATTCTAATCACTTCTTGGCCTTTTGGCTAAGATCAAGAATAGACTTCATGTTTTAAGAAATGCCATGGGTGCTAATGCAAAGATCCACAACTTTGCCATGTTCAAGGAAGAAAGTGTGTCAGAAAATACATGAAATTACAAAGAGAATTAAGGTAGGAATTAATGAATGACATGGAAAAAGTAGGAAATTAATCCATTGTACCTCATTGTTTTATTATATACACATATAGAGAGAAAGAGCATTAATTTAGAAGGGGCAATAAAGGGGGCGCAGATAGGGGAGGGCCTCCAAATACCATCAAATTATATTGTATAAAACTTGCAAAAAATCAATAAAATATCTCAGGGGTCAATTTAAAGAGTCATCTACTTACTAGTCAAGAAGGCATACTTTGAGCATCAATTAAAAGATTATCGTGCATTGAAAAGTTTCAAATGGATTAAAATCTGTGAGGTCAAAATAGTCCTTAGTTTAAAAAAATAGATCATACTCAAAAAGTGGTAAATTATCAACACATTATTTTCAATTGGTAGAGAAGTAGCCAGGCATTTATCTCAAATTTCCTGCATTAATCATGTCTCAGAATAAAGTCATAATTGCTGAGGAAAAAAAAGTTTCTCTTTATGTGGAAAAAACAGTTCAGATAATAAATAATGGAAGATGAAATATGAACACCATAGATTGGAAACCAATGAGCTGAGGATCTACAAAATGACTGTCAGTGCTGATGACAGGCCAGGCGACATTCAGATGAGATATGCTTCCTACAAAATAAACATAAAGTGACCCAATGGAAAATAAACAAAAATTGGATCAAGCTTCTAGATACTACAAGTGCAACAAGAGGTAAACAGGAGATAACAAGTCAAAAGAAATCAGCAAAGTACAGAGGCAAGGTCCTCTATGCCTGCTTATCAATGAGCTAACAACAAGAGAGGGGCAGGGGAGATTTAGGAGACACACACTGAGCTTGATATTCCTGTCACCCCCAAATTCACAGGTTGAAATTCTAACCTCCAAAGTGATTAGTATTAAAAAAATAAAAATTTTAAGGTAATTAAGTCATGGGGAAGAACCCTTGTGAACGGGATTAGTGCCTATTTGTTTATGTATGTATGCATGCATGTATGTATGTATGTATGTATGTATGTATGTGTGTATGTATGTATTTATAGACATGGTCTCACTATGTGGCCCTGGCTGACCTGGTACTCTCTACATAAACCAAATTGGCCTGGAACTCACAGAGATCTGCCTGCCTCTGCCTCCAGTTTGCTGGGATTAAACGCATGCTGGCTTTTAAAAGGAATACAATGAAGCCTTTTGAGCTTTTCTTGGCTTATAGGATGGAACAAGGGGACAAGGTAGTATTCCACAGCCTCAAGGAGGGCCCTCACCAGAACCAAGCCATCCTGAACTCTTGACCTCAGAATTCCAGCTTTCAGAACTGTGAGAAAACAATTGTGCTATCTGTAAATCTCCCACTTTGAGATATTTATCTGTATCTGCCTGAACTGATTCAGACAAGATATGTGTATGGACTGGTTATAATGTTGATTTTAATCAATACATTGTATGCAGTGGTGAAGATTTATGAAGAACATTTGAATACTTACTGGCACAAGAGATTATGTTATTTTAGATGCAATAATGTCATGGTTACATTTTTATTTTAAAAGTCATTACCTTTAGATAAAAAGGCTGACATATTTACAGTTACAAGAATGAGAGGTCTGGAATTTGCTTCATTACCTTCTGGGTGGAAGTGAAATAGGAAGGACTGTACATGAAGCAGGAAGGACTATTCATCAAACAAGAAAAACTATACATGAAACAGGAAGAGGTGTACACAAAACAGGAAAGACTGTACCTGAAACAGGAACGACTATACATGAAACAGGAAGGACTGTTCATCAAATAGGAAGGACTGTACACAAAGCAGGAAGGACCATACACAGAAGAAGGACTGTACATAAAATTTACACATTATTTTAGGTGAATGATTCTACATTTGTGTCTGTTTACAATTTCCCATATAAAATTTTTTGCAAATAAAAATAAAATATTCACATTGTGAAAACCACAGGAACTTCAAAATTCAAGGCTAATTAAAAAAAAACATTAGAGGAGAAATATTGGTTTGACGTACAAACATTTGTTTCCTTTACACATTATACTAAAAATAAATTCATTCAAAAATATAATACCTGAGAGAAAACAGCTCTATCCAAGATGCAACATTAGTCCAGGTGTGGTAGCACACGCCTGTAATTCCAGCACAGGGGAGGCTGAAGTGGGAGGATAACCAATTTGTGTGGGGGGGGTCACATAATCAGACCCTGAGAAAGAAAGAAAGAAAGAAAGAAAGAAAGAAAGAAAGAAAGAAAGAAAGAAAGAAAGAAAGAAAGAAAGAAAGAAAGAAAGAAAGAAAGAAAGAAAGAAAGAAAGAAAGAAAGAAAGAAAGAAAGAAAGAAAGAAAGAAAGAAAGAAAGAAAGAAAGAAAGAGGGGAAAGAAAAGGGAAAAGAAGAAAACAAAGTATCATTTCGTTCATTTAAAGATGAAGTATTCTATCTTCTTTGACAGATGTTTCTGTAAAATCACCTTCTGCCAACGACTGCCTTCCATGACTGATCTGCACAGCCCATGGTGACAGAAGGTAGGTATTCTGCATGCTCCTGCTGGATCTGTAGTCTTCAGCAAGAACAGGTAGGAGAGAGGCACTATTATCCTCTTCCAACCCCTTCTCCTAACTGTGACAAGAAAGAGGGCTTTCCTCAAATGGCTGCCGAGTAAGTTCTACAAACAATGCCACGTTTAAATTCCTTTTCCCCCCAAAAGTAAAATAAATCTGCCTCCATCTTCTAAAACACTATGAGACTGAAAATCCTTTTGTAGTGCTAGAGAAATGCCTGTGTTGTAGATGATTTAGCGGAGGTGTTCCAGCCACAGATGTAGTACCTCATAAACCTTTATGACTCTTGAAGGTGGAAAGAGAAAGAAAAACGGCCCCCTCCGTCCCTTCCTCTCTTCCTCCCCTTGGAGTGCCTGCTCCTGACATAGTATGATTTCCTATCACAAGGTCTTAATGTCTCAAGTTATTTGGCCATCCGCAAAAGTGCAACTTATCCTGTCTCAGGAGACACAAAAGTTGTCGAAGTCCGAGACATGAGTCACTTTGCTCAGTTTTGATGAGTAATCTCAGGTGTCGGAACCTTGCTCCGAAGGGGAGGGGAGGGGGCGTCAGATTTGCAGACGGAAGAAAACAAGCCTCTGGATTGGATGGCAAGACCTCCACTTCCCTTAAAATTGCGTCATTTCGAACCCATTTGGGCCCAGATGTTATGGACACCGACGGGTTACCGTCTCGGAAACTCTCAATCACGCAAGCGAAAGGAGAGGAGGCGGCTAATTAAATATTGAGCAGAAAGTCGCGTGGGGAGAGTGTCACGTGGCTCTTCTGGCTCGTCACGCCTGCGATAAATACCGCGAAGCACCGAGAGGGGAAAAGAGCGCACTTAGACCTCCTCCGCCGCCGCCTCCCCCACCGTGGCCAGGGACAGTGTGAAGCCTGAGCGCCGCGAGAGCGCACCTGCTGAGCATCCCCGCTCGCCGGTCCGCAGTGAGTACCAGCGCCCGCCAGCTGCTGCTGTCGGAGGTGGCGTCCCCAGCCACAGATGGTGGGGAGGCCGGTTCCTCAAATGCCAACGCCCCTCTTTGTCTCCCACCCGCAGAGTCTCCTAGCTTGAGGCGGTGGGTCAGGGGCTAGGGGCTCTGGGATGGTGAGGCTCTGGGAGAAGGGGATTTGAGATTCTTTGGGGACGTTATCCTCTTCCCTAAAGGGTACTGGAGAATTGTGAGTCCTTACGCTTTTAATCTTGGTTTAACCGGACCCGTTTTCCCTTGTGGGGCTGAAAATTCTGCTGCACTAACCCTTGGGTCGCCGCCCGCTACCTGTGTGTAATTCCCCACTCTTCTCTTTGTCTTTTCTCGCGACTCGCCCTAGAAATCCAACATGAAAATCCTCGTGGCCGTGGCGGTCTTCTTTCTCGTCTCCACTCAACTGTTTGCAGAGGAAATCGGTGCCAACGATGATCTAAATTATTGGTCCGACTGGTCCGACAGTGACCAGATCAAGGTGAGACCCAGCCTCCAGTGGCCGGCACTGTTCTTTCTGGGCTTGGGAGCGGTTACCTTCCCCTGTGGTAACACTAGCCTGGTGGTGCGGCACCGGGACCTACCGCCACCCTTGGAGACTGGAGGCGCGAGGTGGCATGTAAAGGGTGCCATCCTAAGGGTCCCGCACAGGGTTTTACGCCCTGAACTAAGCTTCCTCCACTAGGGACCTCCCCTGCAGGAACCATGTTCTCGTTGAAGAGCTGGGGTCCTCACCAGCCTGGAACCCTCACAAGGTTTCATTCTGTAGTTTCGCGGGGCTGGAGCCCAGCTGCACTGCCCGGGAGTTTGGGGATGCTGAACATAGACAGAAGAGGTCCAGATGGTCAGGGGCAGAAACCGGGACAAGAGCGAGGTGCGCGTCTCAAAGGCAGAGCTGGTGGGAAACTAACTTTCTGATTTGCCGAGTGTTTTGATGTAGATACAAGTTTCCCTTTACGTGGCTCTCTAGCACCTGAGGGAGCGCGCCTTGGGAAAACAGTGAAAGCTGTGTGGCTGGGTCCCTTGTAAAGTGTAGTCACCCTTCTACACCCCTTCCGTGCACCACTAAGTACGTTTAGGACGGTGAGGGATTTCTAAAGCCTTTGCCAGGACCAGACGAAGTCAGATGGTAGCAAGACAGATGAGTGAATCTTCCGGTGGGAGAAAGGGCAGAAAACACAGTGGACTAGAGACTAAGATGCTGCGCTGCTGCCAGGCAGGCTTAGGGGAGGAGGCAGCCCAGGTGGTTAGAGGTGGGGTGAGAGCCTGGGCGTGAGGGAGCCGCCAGCTTCTGGCTTCCAGGGCAGCTGTATCTCCGGAAAGGCTAGGACTCTCGAACCACCTATCTCGGGTTCACTCAGATTGTCTACACGTGGCTTTTGTCCCGCAGGAGGAGCTGCCTGAGCCCTTTGAGCATCTTCTACAGAGAATCGCCCGGAGACCCAAGCCTCAGCAGTTCTTTGGATTAATGGGCAAGCGTGATGCTGGTGAGATGAACTGGTCTCTAGGTCTCTCGGCTGCCTGGCCTGTGTGCTTGCTCCTTCCTGGAGCCCTCAAGTGTCCCCTTGCCCTGCGAGTAGAAATGTATACGTTTAAAAGGGTTGTGGTTCCCAGGGCAAGACTCTGGTCTGCACTCACTAACTTTGGCAAGAGCCCACCGACGGAGAGCAAGATCCATTTCGCATGCTTCACAGCACTGATGTGACCCAAACCAGGAACTAACCACCTAGCTAAGGGCTTCTAGGACTAAAGATCCAAATAACAGGGGCTTTCCAGGGCATAGCTGGTCCAATCGCTGATGGAAGATGCCTATAGCGTGTTCTCTAGGGTTGGGTTAGATGTTAGATTCTGCTGCCCCTTGCTGCATGATAGAAATATTCAATTACCTTGAGTTCATGGCACTATTAGTGGAGGGTATGAGAGTTAATGCCAATTCATCTCTTGTCAGATTCCTCAATTGAAAAACAAGTGGCCCTGTTAAAGTCTCTTTATGGTAAACACTCCTATAAATCTTTACTATTGTGAATGGTCATATAAGAAAATAGTTTATGGTGGAAATATAAGTTCTTACTCCTAAGTTTCTCCTCTCTCTCTCTCTCTCGCTCTCTCTCTCACTCTCTGTAGTGTACATGTGTGTGCATGTGAAGTGTGAAGTGTGTGGCCATCCTTGAACATAGTGTATGATTACCATTAATAACTAACCTTAAGAGTTCCACAGTTCTACATTTTAACCCATGGTTGGTGGAAGGCATTTAATAACTATTCCTTTGGTTGTTAAAATGGCTGAATCTTATTAATAATTTAGTTAGCATGCATCTGCTTTATTTCTCAAAATAGTACATAAGTGGGGAATGTTGAATATTTTGAAAACCCACTCTTCTTAAGCTCTCTCTAAAAGATCTGAAGTAGCTTTTTAAAAAGAAAGCCTTATGTGTCTGCTAACACCAGCTTCTTTTCTTATAGGACATGGCCAGATCTCTCACAAAAGTAAGTTAACAATTATTTTTACATTTATCAAATGCTAATGTTAGTGATAGTGAATTTTTCATCATTACCTTTGAGTCATAACATAGGGCCTAATAATTTTAATTAAGACACTATAGGAGGAGACTTATGTCCAGAATGTGATTACATGAGTAATTACTATGACTAAACTCTGTTGCTACCAAAAACATGCACTACATTTTAAAAATGTAAAATAAAAAGTCCTTTAACACTGGCAAACTTTTAGTTTTCGAATTTCAATATTAGGGTCAGACATCCATCACATGCATTCTTCTCCACCCTCCCCCGATGCTCATTTACAATGAAAGAAAAAAGAGCATTCATACACCTTCAAACTCATGTTCCTGAACTGAGTTCCATAATGACATGGAGAAAGGACATTCAGCAGCTCATTAAGTGGAGTGGGTGAATACGTAGAAAATGGGAAAACAGAGATGCTGGGTTTTTGTTTTTTGTTATTTCTTAATCTCATAATTGAATGAGCGATCTACTAAAGGACAATGAAGACAATAAAATTGTGGCACTGGAGGGTCTTTAAAGCCACATTTCCCCTGTTGATGGATCCAGAGTTGTCAGGAAAGGTTCCTGGCAACCATATTCCCTATTTTTGTGACTGCCCTGAATTTGACTGGCCTGGTGGCAGAGTAGACCCCAGATAGGTGGTAGTTCCGTTCTCAACTGACACAGTAGAAACCAGGAAAAGTCCTTGCAGTAGCATAAAGATAATAACCTTTCCAAAGGCTTCATTTTTTTATAACAATACATCTTATTCATATTTACTTTCTAAGAATTTAAATTTCAAAAGAATTATACATAGCAAAATTGTATGCAATAAAGTTAATGTGCTCTATTAATGTTAAAACTAATAAGCCTTCCTAAAAGAAGTATTTTCAAGTCCACTAAATGTGACCTTTTAGAAGATTCCAACCATCAAAGATAGAGATCTTACTAAAGGTTCACTTGCAAAGAAATACAACATATTTTGTAATAAAGATATAAGCTTGGATCTTTCTCTCACACACAAATGTTTTTTGACTCAAAAAAAAAAAACTTCCAAAGCTAGCTCCAATAGTGGGAATATATAATGCTTAATATAATAAATAAAATACAATTTAGATAAAAGGGATTGTCAATATTTAGATACTGAATTGAGAAAAGTACTTTCATTTTATTGTTTTAGTGTGATTTATAAGATAGGAAATCTTCATTTCTTTGGGCTCACTATGATTTGAGATAGACTCATTTATTTTATATAGGCATGTATTAAGAAGCTTGCTTTACTTTTTACTGGTTATAAGAGTTTATTTCCTCAAAAACATACATATTTAAAACCCCTAAATGTATTTTTCCAGGGCATAAAACAGATTCCTTTGTTGGACTAATGGGCAAAAGAGCTTTAAATTCTGGTATGTATAAAATCATATCTAAAAATATACAGTCTCATAGATCTACTTCTACTATTTTTATAAGGTATAGTGTTCAACGTATTTTCTAAAAGGGGTAATGGACTTATATAAGCATTTATAGAGAAAATTTTAATTGTAGCACTCATAGCTAAGAATGGATAGATGCTTAAACTAATATCACCTCATCAGTCTATTTCTCTCAACCCACCAGCATTTCCAGTGCCTGCCTCCTTAACTCATTACCCACCCTGAGTCTTTGGGCTAATCTAACACTTTTCCATAGATGTTCTCATAAGCTGTACTGGAACCCTTAGGGAAAGATGAGAGTTTTTCATTTATGATCAAAATATGAAAGTTTCAAAATATGCTACATCTGGCAATCTTCCTATACAAAAATAAAAAGTTAGAACAAGCAAAATGTTTATCCAAACCACTAGCTTTTTACAAAGTTACAGAAGCTTAAAATCTCAGTGTCTAATGGGTGTTGGAGAGGATGAGTGTGGTAGGGTCTATTCCAAAGTCTTCAAAAGGGAACACATTCAAATCATCCTTCAGTTCTGGTTATAAAACCCTTAGAGAAGAGATGCCATAGTTCTCCAAAGACATTTTAGATCTAAAGAAGGATTTCACATGCCATAAAGACTGCATATCGATCTTTATCCAGCTTGCATTCTCTATATAAATGTCACAAAGGCATCTCTAAAATCACTTATTCATTCATCGAACTCTATTCAAAGTTAAATGACCCCTGTATCATTTTCATGGAAACTGACTTCTTGTTAAGCACACTCAAATCCTTAGCTTAGGCTCCCTGGCAAAACTATTCAAATTCTCTGTATTTTACTTGCAATGAAAGCAGATTAAAATGATCAACATATAATTGGTTAGAATATAATCATCAGCTGTCTTATCTATTGATAATCTTTAGAATTTCTAGAAAATCTATGATGCGATGGATGGCTTCATTCTTAGTTATCTGGACTCACATAAAAACAATTATTCTAGCATTTTTATTATTAATTCTCCACTTTCAAAATTTAGACATGACCTCTGTATTTTCTCTTCAGTAATTTGGAGGCTACCCAAGTTTAAGTCTTATAGAAGCTATGTGTAAACTTGTAATTGTTTCAGCTTTGAGAAATGGAATATAACTTTAAGCCACAGTGTGCTTGTCTCCATACCTGCCAGTTCTGATGTAACTGTGGTTTTCTTAGTAATTGTATTAATCATCAACTCTCCATTTCTAAATTTTATTCAGCTTTCAGAATATGCTTAATTTATAAACAAAGTGCTGTGCAATTTAGAGCAGATTAAATATACTTAAATTAATAAATAATAATAGAATAGTAATAGTAATAATAGAATCACTGTAATGAATCAGAACCAATTTATAACTAAATTTTTTTTCTTGCATTTAGTTAAGAAAATACAAAAGGAAAAAGTAGGGGGAAAGTAGCTGGGATCATTTCACATATCCATTTGAGACATGGTTGTCAGTATTATTCTTCAGGCATCTAATCCTTACCCTCTCATGGTCACACACCCCTTTGACAATCCGATAAATCAACAAGCTCTCATCAACTCAGACACACAGAAGTTAGCAGACATTTTCAGAGTTCAAGGACCAGATAAGAAATTGCTTCCATGACGGAGAACATTATGTCCAGCTAAGTTGCTAGTCAGTCTTTTGTTGCTTACCTCCATGAGGCACAAAAATTTATTACCTTAAAGCTTGCCAAGGATTGACTTGTGTTAGTCATCCTCCTCCTAACAAAAAAAAAAAGAATGAGAAACAAACTTTTTCCTCCTTCAAAACTGTCCAGCTTGGGACTCAGTCTGTTTCACCTCAGGTTTGCATATATAACTGATACGAAACATTTAGCTCATTGCTCACCTTCTTCAGAGAAAGGGATCCAGGCCTTAGCAAGCCAACACTGGAAAGGAGACTGTGCTAATCCTGGTACCTTCTCTCTCTCTCTCCCTTCTCATGTCTTGTGTGCAAAAATAACCCGGCGCCTTAGAAACCACCGGCGAAAGTATATTTTGTTTTCTTTGTGTTCTTTTCTCTCTCTCTCTCTCTCTCTCTCTCTCTCTCTCTCTCTCTCTCTCTCTCTCTCTCTCTCTCTCTCTCAAAAAGTCACTGCTTAGAGAAGCACTGACTTCTACAGATTATTCCTCTGTTTATTCAACTTAAATTGGGCATTTTTGCAGGGCATATGGATTTTCCACAAGCACATTAGTTTCATTATAATGCAAATCTAAGTTATCAAATGCTGGCTAAAATGGTGAAAAATATTCTTACATAGATGATTATACTTATCCTTGACATTATACATAATATAATACAACTAGCCAATTTTTTAGCTAGAGTCAGAGTCCTTAATTACTTAGTAGTTGTGTATTAAGTAACTTTGGAAGTAGTAATTAACATTTCACAGGCCATCCAGGTTTTTAAGAAGTAAGTTAAATTGTGCTGTATATTTGTGGGTCCAGTGTAATCACCTACAGAAATTAAGAGTAGTTTTAGTCTCAATGCAATCAATCTGTCATTATGGAACGCATCCAGAAGAAAGGAAGAAGCCTTAACCCTAAAACAGAGATCAAGCATCCTTTTCCTGAAAAGAGCAATGTCCTAAATACTTTAGACATTTGTGAGTCATGAGGTCTCTAGCAACTACTCAAATCTCCCATTTTAAAACCAAGGCACCTGTAGTTAATACATACCTGGATCACATATATACGTGTTCAAATAAAATTTTATTTATAAGAACAAATGACTTATAGTCTCTAGTTTAGTGGCCTTTGCCCTAGAATGAAAGCTCAACATCTCACTTTCATCCTGCTAATACATAGTTGCTGAGGTATGTCCTTTCTCTGATTCATCATGGGGTCTGAGCACTTCTAGTCAGGATAAAGAATAAGACAAGCTTGGAAGATATACAAATAAAACACTTAGAAATACATCTTCTGGGGGGAAGGTCATTATGACTTTGCAATAATTTAATGTATGATTGAACTTACTACCCCCTCAGTGAATTCTCTTAAAACACTTTTTACTTCCTCTTTTTTCCAGTGGCTTATGAACGAAACGCAATGCAGAATTATGAAAGAAGACGTAAATAATCTCCCTAACACATTATCTATTCAGCTTCATTTGTGTCAATGAGTGATGAAAGGTAAAATAGAACATGCACTACGAAGAATAATTATTTATTTAACAATTGTTGTTATGAGTGGAAAACTCAAAAAAGTGTTTATTTTTTCATATTGTGCCAATAAGTGTTGTAAACATGTGTTGTAGTTTTAGTGTGACTTCCTAAGAGGTAGAAATCAGTGGGAACTCCTCAGCAAAGCACAGTGTTCAATGGAATTGTAAAAACCTGTCTCCAAAGAAAGAAATCATTGCTCTGACAGCTCCATTGGAAGGGAAGATACTCCTATGTGGCTTTGTGCTTCCCCTGGTTGCTTTTGTGCTGAAAATATGCTGAGACTTTGGTATCTGACTGTTTCCTATCAGCATGTTTCATGTTGTGTGACTATATAGAGATGTTTTAAAAAGTTTTATCGTGATTCTATGGTCTTCATTCATTGTGTGATGTGTTGTGATAGCTACCATTTTAAATAAAAGAATATATCTTCAGGAACCTTGTCATATTCGTTCATTAATATTTATCTCAAATCAACAACTATTCTTCTACAAGATGAAGTATGCTCAAGCTGTTTTAGTTAAAATATATTTCTTTCTCTCTCTCTCTCTCTCTCTCTCTCTCTCTCTCTCTCACACACACACACACGCACGCATGCACACACACATGCCCCCCCCCAAACATACACTATTCTATTAAGTCATTTGACATGAAATAGTTCATTGAGAAACCAATTGCATTTTGGAATCCAAAGAGTAAAGTCTAAGTTCTGCTTATGTATGCCTATGGTTCCTTATTAAAGATAGCACAATAATCTGTTCTGTTTTGAAGATAAATTCAGTGGTCATTCTATTTCTTTGTTAAATAAAATATCACATCAGCACATGGTTGTTTTCTGCCTTTTTAAAGCCCATGTATAAAGCACTAGTGCAAGAGTGGAGTGAGAATTTAGGTATCAAACCTGATACTCAGAAGAGAGAAAGTTGAAGACACAGTCACGTTGCTGATCAATGAAACCATTTGTATAAGAGGAAAGCTAATGTGTATTTTAATTTCCGCATCTTTAATTGAACTTAATAGTGTCTGAAATTTATATTTAACAACAATTTTATTATAATTATTTATAATATTTAAATATTGCAACTTATATAATGGAGAAAGTCTAAGTCCTCTAATCCCTTGCTGCTTAATAACAACATTTAGGATTCTATTGAAATAGTATAATAGATAATATCACAGAAATAGCTAAATTAAATGTGTACAATCACTCCAGGAGGAAAGTATTTTCATTATTGTTACCATAATCATTTTATGGTAACAGATGAGGATCTAAAGCTTAAGGAATTGCTGGAACCAGAGATTGTAAGATGAGAGAAGTGAAGTTTGCAAAGGAACCACTGAGAAAGGCAGGACAAAAAATACACATCTAACAGTGAAAATGATTAAACATGTTGATAGACCATGTAGAATGTGATGCAGTCCTTTAAAGTGATATCATGGTATTATCTCCCATCACATGTGTGTTGTTAGACACAGAACAGCCTTTCTGCATCATATGTTCGTATATATTTCTGCATACATGTTATAATAAAAGTGAAGAAAAGCTTATGTTGCAGAGTCGAACTGCTCAGGTTTTAATTCTGGCCCCATCACTTTATGAGCTTGTAATGATGAAGACATCCCTTAGCCTTTCGTTGACTTATTTTCCTCATTAGTGAAAATGGAATCACAGCAGCACCACCTACCACAGAGCTTAGGTAAAAACTGAGCAAAACGATACTATAAAGCCTTGAAAAGTGTGAGGCTTTCAGCATACTCTCTCACCCAGAGTGCATTCAGTGGATGTTATCTGTTGATTGATAGCTACTTTCCAACATGCCTGTGGGAAAACAAGTGCCATATTTTATCCATTACAGATTTCCATAGGCACATTGAATCAGCAGCAGTGTGGAGGTTGCTTTTAAATATTTTCCTCACAAATTAAATCCAGGGCTAGACCACAAATTATGCAGTGCTCTGTGTTGTTTGTGGCTGTGCTAGCTAGGCCCCACAAACCCTGCTGGCTCTAAGGGCCTATAAATCTGTGTGGCACAGGGTGAAGACAGGCATTCATCAGGACCACACTCACGCCTTCCCTCCAGGCCTGGAAGCCAAGAAACACCGTGACTAGGGTAATGGAGGTAAATTGAGCTTCCCATCTGTACTCACAAAATATTTACTCTTTTTTCCCCTAATGGCATATTTCCTTTAACTAAAATAAGTTGTCTTTACCTATATTCTTGCTTGTTTTATTCTGCCATAAAACAAAAATACCACACCGAATTACCTGTATACTTTAGTGCTTCATTGACTTGTTCTTTTTGCTTTCATATTGGTTACCATTGAGAGCAAAAGATTTGACACTCAATTTGAGTAGCCTGAGGAGGATTTATAAAAGGACTAATTACCGAGCACAAACAAGGCATATGGTTCTCCACACTAGCACCCTTGGGAGCCACTGCTATCCTAGGCCAGAAGGACCAAGGGTGAATCAAGAGTGCCTAATAGCTGCTGTCTTCGATGGGAAGGTGGAAGCCAAAATCAGTGATCAAGTATAGGAGAGCAGAGCAGAGTGAGGACACTGGGGAGTAAATCACCCCACCCTGCTACCCTCCTACTCTCTCCCCTCGTTCTGTCTCCCATTGGGCAAATTCAACTGGTGAATGGAAAGAAGATCGTGTAAAGCCATCCACAGATAAGCAACAATACAGGGCACTACACTGACAGAGAAAACTGGAAAGAGCAGTGAGAGGGGAGCCAGGAAGACACCCAGCAATGTACGCTCCATTGTGCTCAGCCAAAAGGAAGCTATTAAGCAGAACTTCATACAAAGAAATGTATAAAGTGAAGGTGCAGGTCCTCTTCATGTGCAAAGCTATTCTCTGAGGATACAGTCTCACATGAACCCATACAAGCAACAAAAATAAGATCTTTTCCATTTGTGCACATACTAAAATCTCTCCTTTTAAAAAGAAATCACTGTAAATGATTTTTAAATGTATGTTTTTAAAGAAAATTAATAGGACTGGAGAGATGGCTCAGGAGTTAAGAGCACTTGGCTGCTCTTGCAGAGGACCTGGGTTCAAATTCCAGCACCCATACGGCAGCTAACTGCCTATAACTCCAGTTCCATGGTATCCAACGCTCTCTTCTGACCTCCAAGGGCGTTACACAACACAGGTGCAATTGCACACATGCAGGCAATACACTCATAAAATAAAATAATATATAAAATAATAATAAAGGAAATAAGTATACTGGTTTTTCTTCAAAACAGTAGAAAGAATTTTGGTGGACCTGAAATTTATGAAAGTCTCTAAAAGTGAAAATGTGCAGACAGCATGAGCTGAGTCCCAGCCCCAGCAGGAAACAAAGAGCAGGGAGAAATGCCAACCCAGAAGAAAGGAGCTTTTCATGGCAATGCTGCATACCATGAGATAAGGAGAAAGCATCCAAAACCACTAAGCAAGATAATATTCAGCCAGAGATTGCTTAAAACCAAGGATGAATTTGTAGACGATCAAGCAACCAGAAGGAGTTAGCTTAAACCTTTATTAAAATCATTATAATGTGACAACAGGAATTGATGTTAACATTGGTGAAGGTCAGTCAACATTCCACTCCATTCTGATAATTGTTCCCAGTTCCAATTCACAGAAGGTATGGGAACATAGGTTGTATTAGTCATGTACCTAGATTTGTAAGGGTTGCAAGGGAAGAGCTGAAGCTTTAGCAGCTCTTAGTCAACGTGGGTTTAATAAGAAGGGTGATGAGGCAGAAGTGAGCACCCTGATCTTGCTCAGGTCTGTGGGATGAAATTAGCCATTCAACTTCTCCTAAAAACTATGGGCATTTCCAAACAGAAAGCTTATGCACACCTACTTTGAAAGAATAACTAGAGGATAATGTCAGCATAAAGAAAACTAAATCTAAGAAGAAGTAATTATTGACAGGAAGTGTGGTGAACAAAGTAATCATCTAAAAAGTATTTATAAGTCAAAATTACCTGTGTGTGTTAAATAAATAATTTGGAAATAAGATCTCATATGATATCAACATAAGCATTAGGGGCAGGAGCATGGACCAGTATAAAACTTTCTTGCATTTTAATGAAGATCCTATTCTGGGTTGCAAGCCAGGCCTGGTGGTGCACATCTGTAATTCTAGCACTTGGGAGGTGGAGGGAGGAAGAGTGCTACGAGTTTTGGGGTAGCCTGTTCTACATAGAGAGATGCTATCTAAGAGCCCTTTTTCCCACAAAAAGAAAAAACAAAACAGGAAAGCATAGATTTCTGGCATCAACTGAAAGTGTACAAAGGTTAAAACTGAACTAATAAGTGAGTTTACAACTGTCCAAGAAGATAAAGGAAATATTAAAATACAGTCTAAGGCAGAGAAAGCACAACAGAATCACTTGGCAAATAAAAAACAGAAAAACCAATTGAAACCTGCCTATATTTATAATAATTATGAAAACAACTTACCAGACATACTAAAGACCGACCTGTTAGGTTAGTTTAAAGGGGTATTTTTTAAGCACATCTACAACCTTCATATATACCCACCCTCCTTTCTTGAGGAATACACTGAACACATTCCTCTCCCAGCAGGAAAAACTGCAGCAATTTTTACACAATATTTCTGCCCAAGGAAGCCACTTAAAGACTGTGCCCAAGGTTTTTATTGAGGGCTTGTCCATAGTCACCTTTAGGTAACATATACCAAAATCTGAGAAGAATAAGAGTCATCCAGATAAAGCACCTCACTTATAGAGTCTGTAAAGAAAGCCATACTAATCCTGTAAGGAAAGTTTCATATCAGTGAAGGATGAGCTAGTCAGTCATGCATGTTCCCAAGTGCTAGGCAGGCTCCAAGATGATAAACCAGCCTTTTTCAGAATGGCAGTTTCAAGTCTGCTGTGATATCTCAGTTCTGCACCCTCTATAAGACCTGTATGTCAAAACCTGAATATGGGGCCAACACAGTGCCCAGGAGAAATTTTATACCAAAAATAAGGGATTTTTTTGTCACCTTGAGACAGCATCTTGCTATGTAGCATAGGCTGGCCTGGAACTTGTAAATCTCCTGTCTCAGTCACCCCAGTGCTGAGATTACAAACATGAGCTACAATGCCCAGATATGAACTTCTTTTATAAGCCAAAGAATTAAAATTTAACTAATACGATTTCAACCAGAGGTACTAAAAAGAACAAAGTAAGTTCAATGAAAGCAGAATTTTAAGAATTAAAAGAAAAGGCAGATACTAATAAAAAAAATTGTAAGAATAAACACAATAAATTGTTTGAAAGAAATATTTTTTAAAAGATGA